CTGCTGCAGCACTGCTCCTAACGGCCTGCTGACAGCCACTGCAGTCGGACACGCAAGTGATGCTTGTTGGGTCCCCCAGCACCAAGCATGCCACAGTTAGTTAACTGATGGCGGTGGGAAGGGCTGGTGACACCCAGCAGCAGCACAGCCTGGCTGCCTTAGTGCTGAGTTCAGCTCTGTACACAGCAATGGTCAGAAACACCCCAAGTTTTGCAGAAAGGAACCAACCCCCCCCCGCTTGAATGCAAGTGTAATCTAACACAGGTGACCGTCGCCTTGCAGGAGACTGCTGTGAAAACATAAATGAGCAAGGCTTCCTCACAGAGCAAGAGTTCTCCTCTGCCTTCATCTGGAGAAAAGGAGAAGAAAAAAAAAAAAGACAAACTCAGCACACAGCTGCAGTGGTGGCAGCAGCAGAGCACAGGTACTGCTGGCTCTGCGGGTCTGTGAGCTGCTGGGCACTGCCGTGCTGTGCTCTGTGCCAGGCAGCAGCCAGGGAAGGAGCAGAAGGGCTCGAGCTGAGCGCAATGTGAGAACTCCTCGTTGCAGTGGGGAAACAACACTCACTGGGCAGCAAAGGCTCATTCTTCTTGAAGAGCGCTTTCCCTCCTCACCAGATGCAATCGGTTCCTATTTGACACAGGAAACACCCAGTTTGAGCATCGATGCTTTAATATTAATGCTGCTATGATATTCCGTATCGTATCTCGAAGGCAGGCTGCGGTGTGCTGGGGACACAAGGTGCCATAAATCAGCATTTCTGAGCGCACAAAGGCAGGCAGCCCGCTGCCCAGCGCCGGCTGGAAAAGCTCCCGTGGATTTCCGTGTCACTTCAGCACTCAGCCCGGATCGCTGCCCACGGCCATTGCAGTGCTGCAAAACACTCGAGACAAGGATGATGACAGCAAACATTTTCTGACATATTGCTCGCACGGCGCAGATTAGATAAAATTCATCATCGTGGTTATTCCCCTCTGGGGTACTGGCACTGCTCACTCCTGGGCCAGGAGGGGCTGCTGGGCTGTGCCCCACACCCTCAGCACTGTTATCACAACAGGGGAACGGCCCTATTGGGAGGGGAAATTCAAACCTATAAAATGATATACGGAGATTGTACCGTTTGTGTTAAAAGTGGTAACAGCTTTACTGATTTACTGAACATTTATCAGCACGTGGCAACCTGGGCCGAACCTGACAGGTGAAACGATCCAAATAGATTGTGAAATCTCTTCCACTCATTTCTATTGATTCCAGTTAGGATAAAAATCCATCGGTGTGCCGAGCAGCGCTCAGCCTCAGGTCTCAGTGCAGACAAACAGCTGGCAGGAACAGCAGTGCTGTGCCACACCACGCCTGCTGCTGACCCCTCACCTTCACATCCCCACACAGCACTGAGATCTGGGCTCAAGTGGGAAAACACAGTCACGGTGATGTCAGGTGTGCTGACGAGTGCCTGTGTGAGCATTCTGCTTCTAAGGAAGTTGTGCAGGGCTCACTGGAGTTGTTTCTGAGCCGCCGTAACAAACTGCCCGCGAACGGAGCGCCTTTCATCGCTTTTATTGATTCATGCGTTTGGTTCTTCCCCAGTCAAAAACAAGGCACATTAAATACATCCTCTTATTGCTCTATAAATGCATGCGGCTCATTCTGGATATCAAAAGTAATAAATAAAACGGCAAAAAAACACCAGGACAGTTACAAAAACGACAACCCAGCCTCAAACACAGCGCCGCACAGCTCAGCACAGAGCATCCCCCCAGCACAGCACAGTAGTGCCAGGGTAAGACATGTGTACACACACACACACACACACACACACACACACATACATACACACGCTCCCCAGCCAGGCATGCAGCTTTCCAGGCACCCACCACCCAGCGCTGCTTCCCCACCTGGGATCAGAACAAAGCAGGGCAGCAACATCAGTGCAATCACATGGAGCAAAGCAGAAGAGCAAAGAAAAAAACCCAAGCAGATCAAAACCAACAACCGACACCCCCTCTTCTCCCCTCCATGACATTCCTGAAAGCAGAGGCAAGGTGCTGCACTAAGCAGCTGTGCCTTCCCTGTGTGCAGGCACAGTGCTGTAACCAGCACTCAGCCTTGTAACTCTGCACTCAGGGCAGCTGTACAAGATCCTGCTGTGCCACACAGGAGCAGAGATCCATGACAGTAAAGCACCCACGACGCAAAGCAGACTCCTACAGAGGACGTGTGTGTAGCCAAGGAAACCCCAAAGTCACATTCTGTGTGTGGCATTACCAAACCAGCAAAGGACATAAATCTGGGTGCAAAGCAGAACATCCTGGCTTTACAGGAAAACTTGCAGCGCTCGTTCTTAACAGTTCCATCTACAGAAGAGTGGAGGAGAATTTTTCTTCAAACCATACAAATGTTATTTAATATTTTAAACCTTTTTCTTTACGTGGTCTGGAAAAGGTCTCACTACTTTCACAGATACATCTGTTTAAATAATACAGTGAACCATGGGCTCCCCCCCGGCCCCCCCCCCCGCACCTCCCTCCTGCTGCTGAACCCAAAGACACCCAGTTCCACTCCATGCCGTGCTGTGTGTGATGTAAACTCTCTTGCCATGTTCTTATTTGAGAAGGGCTTTAGAAAAGCAAAGCTGCATGGAGTATGTGCACACTTTACTTGAATCTTCTGGAACACACTCAAAAAAGTTAACAGTAGCACAGAAGCCATTCATAAAACACCTTGTCAAACACTCACTCACCGCTCCCCTGGGCTGTGCCCAGTGCTACAGATCTCACAGCAGAACGGCCAGAACCCACAGCAGCACAGTTCTGGTACAAAGCAGCTCTACGACATCAATTCAACATGCAGAAACCATGTGGAAAGCATCTGAGACAGTATTTCTGGAGAGAAACCTGGAGACGTTTCACCACTCGTTCAGACTGACAGGAACTCAGGTGAAGCTCACCCCAGCTCTGGTTTGTGTTCGTTTTAAAGGTCTGCTTCTCAAAGCTCTGAGTTTTATTTATTCCTAGAAGCACTCTCCCTGTCCAGCCCCGAACACCCGACTCACTCAGCCACCAACACTCCTCAGTCCCTCCATTTCACACATGCAGTCATTTTCCCTTAAGATACAGAAGTAATCTTTGCTGGCTGTTACCGCGCCGTTTCCATTAGTGAAAGTGATGACATCAGTTAAAGATCAGATTTTACACAAGGAGGAATCCTGAGACCTTGGAATGGAGGGTCCTGTTCTGTCAGCTGGTATTTATACTCAAGAAATCTATGAAATCTAATCTGAGTTTTTAAATAAATTAAGACTTATGTTATCAAAACCATCATATTTTACATATTTGTCCCAAACTGGAAACAGTACAGAGCACTTTACAGCATTAAATACCCCCTGCGGTAGAATGCTGCCGACTGAAGGAAGCTGCTTGTTATTAACGTGGAGAAAGGGAAGCTGTCCCCCAGCTACTCGCTGGGTTATTATTGGAGTGTTGGTTATGTGTTGTTTTCCAGCTTTGTACTGCTGATACTTGTGTCTGGCCAAGTACTGTACTGCTGAAATAACTACACACCCCAAGAGAGCAAAGCCCAGCACCTGTGGAAGGGCAGTCACTAACCAGCCTGCTCCTTACTGTACCTGGTACCCTCAGCAGGTGAGTTTCTGCTCCTTTTGTGAAGCTATCTCAAATCCCAGGCACCAGCCTTCCCTCTGCTGCCCTTTGTTGAAGCAGACAGATCAGCAGCTTTTAAATACTAAATGCCTATTTGCAAATCTCCATGCAACGCTTCCTTTAAAGGCAGGAATCCCTTTTTTTTTTTTAAAGGTAAAGGTGATCTAGAAGTTAATGAGCAAGGCAGTACATGCCATGTGCTTGTGCGTGCACCAGTGTTTCCAGACCATATTCCAGAACCCCTGTTGATAAACTCGTATGTCTGAAGCGTACCCCATCCAAAAGGCCACATACCGGAGTATTAAGAGCTGTACAGAAAACCATTAGTACAGAAAACAAACGCACCCACGTGTTTTTTTTACAGATATCAGTCACCTTGAACGAGCAAGGACATTCGGGAGCACTGGAATGTTTGTCAGCACATGCAGCTGTGCTGAGCTACAGCCCTCCGCCGCTGCGGTCCACCGGGATCACCACGCGCTGCCGCAGGTTCTCCTCAGCTGTCTTCATGAGCACGGCCAGCCTGCTGCCGGAGACGTAGCCCTTCTGAATGGCACTCATCAGCTGGAAGAACAGAGAGAGCACCTCAGCTTCCCTTCCACACAGAACAAAGGTGGGTGGCACAGCCCCAGCTGCACTCCCAGCTCCTTGGCAGAGCAGCGGGGACGCCAGCCCAGCCCCACAGCACGGGCTCAGCTCCACACAGCCGGTCAGTTTGTCCAAGGGCACATGGTACATGGCAGTGACAAAACCATTTGTCTACCGAAGAAGAGAAGGCTCTGGGGAAACCTCATGGTGGCCTTCCAGTACTTCAAGGGAGCCTATAAACAGGATGAGGAACGGCTGTTTGTGAGGGTGGACAGTGATAGGACAAGGGGAATGGTTTTAAACTGAGACAGGGGAGGTTTAGGTTGGATATTAGGAGGAAGTTTTTCACACACAGGGTGGTGAGGCACTGGCACAGGTTGTCCAAGGAGGCTGTGGATGCCCCATCCCTGCAGGCATTCAAGGCCAGGCTGGATGTGGCTCTGGGCAGCCTGGGCTGCTGGTTGGTGACCTGCACACAGCAGGGGGTTGGAACTCAGTGATCACTGTGGTTATTTTCAACCCAGGCCATTCTGTGATTCTATGATACCAATAAAGCAACACTGCTGCATGCTTTGAAAAAAATCTCACATCAAAGCCCATTTTCATTTTCCAGAAATACCAACAAATGTGACCTGTTTGGAAGTAGCAATGCAGCATCCATTAACAGCGGTGCCATTTAACCACGTGGGATAACCCAGCTATTCCACAGGCTCTCCCCCACCCACACTTTTTTTCTATTCCCCTCTCAGTCTGGAAGTAAGAAGCAGAAGAACATCACTGCTGATCCAGCACTGACCCCGGGTTGCACCCCTCATATTCACAAACCCTTCTTTGCAGTGACAGGATACTTGACTTCCACAACTCTTTCAAATCCAAATTATTTTATAGACTTTAAAACTAATTTGCCTTTAAGTCCTTGAAACTGGACACAGCACTACCTTAACGAACACACACTAGTGCTAGGGCTTTAGTTAATTCTTCTTTATCCCACGGATAAAGTGAGCATTAGACTTGAAATTGCACATAGCTTGCCAAAGACCACTATGCAAAGCAACCAGCACTTACAAAAAGCAGTTTCTGAGTCACAGTGAATGCCAGGAATCCTTCAGATTTCTTCCCTTCCATAGGGAAGTCTATTACTTCTGCAGCCAGACCTCTATAGGTTGGTACTGCATCTGAGAAACAGGAATGACTCCCCAGGGAGGGAAAGGGACAGATCCAGCCAAGGCTGAACAACCTCCAAGGCTGTTGGGGACATTCTGGCCACCCTGTGAGCCCCGAGCAAAGGCAGATGCTGCAGTCAGGAAGCAGAGGCCCAGAGCTTCCCTCCAGCTGCTCCCCTCCCCCTGGTGACCCACACCAACAAGAAGGCTCCAAGTGGGGCAGCCCTTCCATCACACCCATTCATTCTGCCTTACCACGCACTCCACAACCAACTTGCTGTGGTTTTTCCCACTACGCTGCATGCTCTGTGGGAAAGGCACTCCTGGAGGAGCAAGCTGACTCTTCGGCACCACCACAGGAAGAGAACTTTCATATGCAAGCCTTCAGAGAAGCAATCGCTGCCATCAGACAGCTGCCTGTGCCAGAAGGATCCCTGAGGAAACGTGGGCAGTAACGCTACAAAGCAGGTGTGAATAAAAGCAAAACTGGCTCGAGTTCTCAATCAGATCCACCTGTTTGCACAAAACGCCGACCAGTTCGGCCTGTGCTCCATCTGTGAAACACCTGCAGCACCGCTGAGCAGCTCTCCCAAGACGACCCAGGCAGGCTGGCAGGCTGCAGTGGGTCAAATGCAGCCACTTGGCACCGCTCTGCTCCCACCTGGATAGGGAGGCAGCCACTCTGATACAATGTGTTCCTATATTCTAATATAAACGTCCACAAATATTTGCACACAGCTTTCCACAAGCGTTCTGGCAGTACAATGTAATTACTTGAAAGTTTTCAGAGAGCAAACACAAAAGTATTGAGAACTGGCTTAACAGATCCATTAAAAAACTAAACAAACACCACGTGTATTTTGTTCTTTCCATGGCAACCTGCTGTTCCTCTTATTACCACGCTTCCCACTGTGCTCTGTGCAGCACAGCAGCTCCCTGTGTGCAGCCCTGGCTCCGCGTGAAGGAAGTGCAAAGTGCAATGCAACCTCGCTGCAGCGCTGGGAGAGCACTGGGAAACACTCAGGACGAGCCTGTAACCACAGAGCCACTCAATTTAAAGTAAAGTGACTTTGAAATGACACCAAAACAGCGACCTGTCACTTGTATTTTAGAGTTAGGGCAGGAAACTCCTCATGAGACTGTTCACCAGAGCAAAGCAAAGCAAAGCAATCCACAGCAGGCTGTGTTAGTTGCTTTGACTTCTTAACCACAGCGTCTCCAAGTGAACCCAATTTTCAATCTACCCAAGCCATTACAGTCAGTGTTTTGGTTTTTTTTCCCCCCCAGTCTGAAGTTTTCACATGCAAAAGGACACAAGAGGGAGACCCTTCCCAACAGTCAGAAAGCCACCAGTGATATTCAGTTATTTCAGTCAGATGGCTCTGGGGAGCTTTTATTTCATTTTACAACTAATGCACATTTCAGTTAGCCAGCTAAATCGCTGCATCTTAGGTAAATAAATAGTCCTTTTTTCTAATGCTGGACACAACCTGTGAAAATTTTCTGCATTTAGATTCAACAATGCTCCTCTTATCTACAGCTCATCTCAAGAGAGACAATTACCATTTCCTCTGCCTTGATCTTGTTTGTTTAACTTGACACAGTGAAGAAAGGGCTGACATTGACCAAAATCCCCAGCATTAATTTATCTCATGTTCAGCATTCATCATTGCCACCACGTAGCAAAGACATGGCACTCACTTGAAATACCACACCAAGAAAGACTCCACAAAAACAAAGCTGATTAGCAAACTGCTTATGCAAGAGGAGGACAAACATTCAGTAGCACCTTTAATTTTCTTATTTTAAAGCCCTGCGAAAAGCAGACATACAGGTTGCCAATGCAATGTCCATACAAATGGGGGTATCGTTTCTCAACCCAGGAGTTACAGTGGGATAACATGGACTACATGTCTTCTGACCATAAGCTCCTCCTTTGCCATTTTCCAGGCTATTTTGCACACTGTAGTCATTTCTAACAGGTCAGGCATGTGTCAGCATGCACAACTACAATATATCTTCCAAACAAACAACCATCTTACTTGGAAGGTAATTAAACATAATTTCTGCATAAAAAAAAGCCAAGTTCAGATCTGCACTGTGGCAGACTTTGAAAATTTGACCTGCTCTTTGGGTTCATTGCTTCTGCCCAGCAAATATCCTTGAATTTGGAAGGTGCTTAAAACCAGCTGTGTGCGTCATTCTGTGCTGTGCTCTGGCAAACAGCATCACCAGGACTGTGGTACCCAACAGCACCCACCTCCTCCCCAGCACAGCTCTTCTGTGGGAGGAGGAGGGGGACTCAGCACCTGTGCCTACAGCTACAGCACTTACAGTTTCTTTGCAAGAGAGAAATTCTTACCTGCAAAAACTCAATGAGCTCCACCTGCCCGTTCTTGTTCAGATCTACTTCATTCAGAATATCGTGGAGTGTTTTTTCATCAATCTGCACACTGATGCTCTAGACAAAAAAAAAAAGAAAACAAACCCAAAAAACCCAACTTTTAGCAGGGTCAGGTAAGTGTCAATGTACATAAATACCACAAACCTTCCAAAAACCAACCATCTTATTTTGAATATAATGAAACATAATTTGTGTATTAAAAAGCCAAATTCAGATCTGCACCATGGTACACTTTGCAATCTGGACCTGTTTGATGGACAAAGTACACCAGCTGCATTGCTCAGCACTACTTAAGCCACATTGCAATTAAAAACAAAGCAGAAGGAAACTTTACCTCCAAGACGCGCTGCACATCCAGTATAGTAATAAATCCTTTCTTGTCCTTGTCAAACATGTGGAATCTCTTCTTGTACCTGCAAGATAAAGATTATCAGTGGAGAAAAATGACACTCGATGTTGCTAACTCCCAGCAACCCAGGAATCCCTTATTTCACTTACCTTTCAATATCTGAAGGCACTAGAGTGATTTCAGAGCTGTCTGTTAATTGGTCAGATTTCACCTTGTAGCCCATTTCATAATACAGAAATTTTCTTGCAGCTTCAAGTTCTTCCTACAACCAAAAGGAAAAGTCTTCTTGTATCTGAGGAAGAACAAGTTCTTCCTTACACAATTTATTTGCTCCTTCCACTTCACAAGAATTTTCCTAAGGTCCAAAAATTGAGCAAGCAGTAGCTGAAAAGTATTAGAGTTCAACTTTGGCACCTTTTAATCTTGAAAAGGGATATCGAGCCTAGTAAAGACTTCCAATTGCTGTGTAAATGCTTTTAGGATTACACTGCATGCATGAGCACTGAGCAGAGGAAGCAAATGGGGACCTTCCAAATAATTTAGAAAATAAAAGAAGTTAAGGAACTCTATATCATCACTTTTCAAAACTGCCACAGGCTGCCCAGTGAGGCTGTGGATGTTCCCTCCTTGGAAGCACTCAAGGCCAGGCTGCACGGGGCTGTGAGCAGTCTGGTCTGGAGGGAGGCATCCCTGCCTGTAGCAGGGGGTTGGAATAAGATGATCTTAAAGGTCCTTCCAACCCAAACCACTCTGATTCTATGAAAAAAGAGTGATACAGACTGCAAAATCCTTCTCTTCTGAGACAGACCTGTAAGAAGTGACACTGAACTAAATACTCACTAGAAGTAGGACTGTAATGCCAAGTCTGCCTCATTTTTAAAGTTAAGGAATGCTTTCACTCTTCCCTCCACCTGGCCAATACCAATTCATTTCACAGCTCTTTCGATGAAGACTTCAAAACACCAAATATATCCATTCTCTCAGGAAGCAAGCATCACTGAAGTTTTCCATTAATTTCATTTGTTAACATGGAAACTACTTAAGAAAAAAACAAAACAATTCCAGATGAAAAAGGCCCTTTGTACCTTTTTTTTCTGCTCGTTCCAGTTAAGTTCTTTCCCCATTATGTCTACGATCCTTGGCAGAGCTTCCTCAGCAGCCTGCACGTTCAGGAAGGCCAAGCGAGTCCGCCGGGAAATGATATCCACAGCAGTGCGGGCATATTCCTTCACACCATAGATGACCTGCAGGAACAAGGCAAGGAAAAAACACAGGTGAGTCCATATTAGATATATTTCATGTTACATTATGTATTTGTAGTAAAACATTTCTTTCACGTGGGATATTAGAAAAAAGTTCTTCTCCGAAAGAGCGTTCAGCTGCTGGAATGGGCTGCCAGGGAGGCAGTTGAAGAAATGTCTGGATGTTGTACAAAGGGAAGTGGTTTAGTGGGAAATACTGGTGGTAGGTGGGCAGTTGGACTGGATGACCTTGGAGGTCTTTTCACCTCGGTGATGCAATGGCTCTACAGAAAAACATTAAGCACGATCAGGTGAAGTGGAAAAATGAAAACAAAAACATCTGAATCTCAAAGGAAAGGGCTTGTGAAGGTATTTTTCAGAGCGAGATGGCCCTGCTCTACAATCTGCTTCATTCCCAAGTAGCACACAAGCATGATGCAGTTTTTCCACATACCTCAGCTTCGATATAAGGAAATTCAGACACAAGACGTTTTCCAACAATAGGCCATCTCTTTCCTGTAACTTGGGCTATTTTGGCCACCTCGAAAGCCTTGTCACCATATGTAGAAGCCAGATGTTGAGCCACCTATGGAGTTGAAAACAAGTTCAGTACACTTTTGAAAGCACATCAAGCATATATGCATTTTCTATTGTCTCTCATCACTAATAACAAAGATGCTGAACTGGGTTCTGATGGTGTGAGAGGAAACTGCTAGACCTTTGAATGAGTTAGACCTATGCTAATGAGGTTGGTGGACCAGCATGTGGCAGGGGGTTGGAGATTCATGATCCTTGAGGACCCTCCTAACCCTGGCCATTCTGTGATTCTGCGATGCTGCTATGTACGTATCCAAATAAATGACCGTGGTGCTTCAACTCTTCTACTTCAGATGTGATCAGAGAGCAGCACAGGTTGGTCGTGCCTAAGGAAAGGAGCATTCTAGCATCTCATAACATTTTAAAGCAGAAAACAGTTAAGACATTAGGAAAATATTGTCTTTAGGGAAAGAACAAAACCATCCAACACAGAAATATCAGCACACAAACAGTAACAATGGCTCACCTCGCTTTCAAGTCCATAGTCCTGGACCAGCCTAATGTAGAGCGTGGGGCTCCAGTCCTCAGCCCCTTGGAGCAGCAGCCCAATCGTCTTACTGGAACCCGCAGGCAGATCGTGTGCCTGAATAGCAGCATCAATGGTATCCTGAGCCATGGCACGGTACGTTGTCCATTTCCCACCTATAAGCACACATTTACTTCTTTATTTGGGGAAAGCAAGGGAAACATGAAGTTGGCACAGGCCATGTATTTTGTCGTATTACTTTTACTAGAGTTGTTCTGACAAGCCAGTCACACTGCTACAGACACACCACTACCTAGCTGTAGCAATGCAAAGCGTCACCCTGCAAGAAGAAAGATGTTTGCACATAATGCAGTGGGGAAGCCCAACAAAAACAGCAGCTGAAATGAACCTCCCCTACCTGCTATGGTGACAAGGCCACTGTCACTAACAGTAACAACGTGGTTCCGGCATATCGACTGCGTGTCTTTGGAGTTGGGGTCGGTGACCAGAGGACGAATGCCACTCCAGGCTGCCAACACGTCTCCTCTTCTCACTGTCCAGAAGAAAAAGGTAACCAAAATCAGTCAGGAACTTTGTATCTGTATTCATTTCCCACCATCTTATGGTCTCTGTAGCATTACCTCCAAGCAGTGTGAAAAACAGCACTGCCCATCTCTGTATCAGTACTGCTGTCTGACCCAAAACAAAGCCCAAGAGAGACAGACCTGTCTGTCACACTGGTTAAGAATTCGACAGAAGAGAGAGATTCTGGAACTGATCCACCATGAGACTCAGCTATCGGAGTCACCGATCAGCTCAGAAAACCCTCAGTCCAGGACAGAAATCCCACCACAAACAGCGCCCAGTGCAGCACCAAGTCTTATTCTCCTTGCTTCTGTGGGCAGGGCAGTCCTTTCATGGCACTTCAGAAACCAAAATAAAGTCTGCTCCTACGACATTTGCTTTTAGGACTTGAAAGCTTTTAGCACAGTGTGGAATTTATCAAGAGGAGAATCTGGAAAAAATAAGTGATCTTTATTCACAGCCTCTGTCAGAAGCACACCTGCATCTGTTAGGCTATAGCACATCCCCTAGGCCTGTTGCTCCCCCAGGCCCCCAGCATTTGCACAGCAACCCCAGAGGGCCCAGGTGATCTGTCACAGATCATCCAGAAGCCCACGCTGTTCTGAGCCACCTCCTCCAGCCCTACCTTCCCAACCATAACTGTTTCAGAAGCATTTTCCCTCTTCACAAGAAGCCCAACTCAATGGCCATTTTCATGCCCCCATGCTACTCCTCTGCTCCCTGGCAGTTACTGCATCCCAAGGGCCAATCCTGGCCTTCCACTGAATGTGAAAGAATAAAATCTGAAGGCAACAAGTAGTAAAAAAAGGTCCTTAACAGTTGCAGGAAAAAGCCCTAGCCTCTGAAGGGGACTTTCTTCAGGAATATATAAAACATGGAACCAATAATCTCATGAAATTCATTTTGTTGCTTGTTAAATTCACAATAGTAAAAATTGACCAATTTACACCGAAGCCCCAAAACAATTTTTGATGCAGCTTTCAAATAACTGATAACTTCAAAATCGGTAACAGGGTGTAAAAATATCCCCAAAGAACACAAAATAGATTTCAGAAATCAATGGTGCTCTGCCAGCATGTTTAACCTGCCAAAATGAAGTGTTAATCACAGAAATAAGATACCATATTACATTTATAAACTAATGAAACTAGAAAAAGCAGCAGGCGTGACACTATAATTAAACAGTTGGAACACATCCAAGCCTGTGTAAGTTGATAACCCTGGCACTGTCTCTGGCAGCAAAAAGGCAGGTCTGCAGTGAGTTGATATGGCCAGCACAGTTGTTAATTCAATAACAGGCAATCTATAAACACTGCTAATTGCAATGTGAAAACCAGTGTGCACACCTAGGTAGCTTCCTTCAAAAGAACCGAACACTTCATAACGCACTTCTGTGAAAAACCTCGTAAGATTTCTGCCTTATTCAGTCTGAACACCACCAGCTACCTGCCTGCCCCACCATGCTGACTGGCATTGGCTTCTGCACCAGAAAAGCAAGGGTACATTTCCTCAAGGCTGTTTGTCCCAAAGCTGTACAAGAGAGCCACCGAACCGTTCATTTCAGGAATCTGGTAATCTAATATTTCCAGCTGCTGGACAGCAGGTTTCCTAAATCCCAGAGATTGCAGTGCTCCTGACAAACAGTGGTTTTCAGATTTCTTTTAGCACTACTGCAACAGGAGCACAGATGTTTTCACATAACCATTGAAAAAACAACAATAAAAAGCCCCAACAAAACAGTAAGCCTCACTACAAAGTAAGGAAATCTCTCACCTTTAAACTAGCACTAAGGCCAAACAAACCAGCGCCTTCCAACACAGGTGTTCTCAGCTCAGTTACCGAGATCAACCATCACCAAGTGATTTTGATGAATTCCCCTTTCTGCCCATCATACCTCCCTCTTCAACCAAGAGCTGAACTATCAGCTATTTACCACACCAATAAATAACTAAGAAAGCATCAAGAAAAATGGAAGACAGAGGAAAAGTCAGAAGAAGTCTTCCTACAATCAAAGCAGAGGATTCTACAATACAGCCGTATGGACATACAACCAGCCCACCCACTTCAGCCAAACCTTGCATCTGCCACCCAAAAAGGGCAGAATGAGTCATCTGACAGCAGCTGCCTGTTAGATGAGAGGCACATGAAATCTGCACGTTCAGATATCAACTGATTTCCATTTAAATGGTCCAAGTAGAGAGAGAGTATCTGGAAAAGCATCAGCACTAGCTCTGAAACAGATTGAGATGACGCTTACAGCTCACAAGTATTAGAGGGGCAAGAACACAGTTGTCAATCACTGGAGGAACTTGAGACAGACAGCACGCATTCAGACTGAAATACTGTAGTTATCCCTCCCAGCACAACTGACACTCCTACCTTCAACATCAACACTAAGGTAGTTGCGCACTTCACTCAGAATGAAGTTGATATCTTCTTCTGTCGGTATGGGATGGGAGGTGACATCAGTGGGGCTGTCTGTGGTCCCTGCAATAGTCATCTTCTCCCAGGGCAGGAAGAAAATCACTCTGCCGTCGCTGGTGGCTGGGTCGAGCAGACCCATGTTTTCAGGGCTGAAAAAGAAGGGACGTGATTCAGAGCGGATCAGGCATCCCCAGGGTCTGTTCTTGTACACGTTCATCTATTACATCAGCACCTTTGCTCCTGTGCAAAAAGAGATCACCACAACCCAACCTTAAAATGTATTTCTCAAAGCTTCTGGGGATAAGGCCTTTAAATGTGATTCCCAAAATGTGACTTCCTACATCAGACAGCAGGACACATCCTTAGTGAGAGCAATCTGGTACCTCCCTCCTCCAGTCACTGGGATTTCAAAGATAAGGATTTGAAATTTAAAACAGCATTTACTGGAAACCCCTATTGTGGAAGGAACAACTGGTTTTAGTATGAACAGACAGACAATGACTTAGTGTCACAAAGAACAGCTAAGGCTCAAACACTGCACAGGCAAAAACAAAAACAGAACTCTGGTTTGTTTGTAATGTGTCTAAGAGGAGAGACAATCTCAGACCAAACATTAGTAACCCCATTTATCAGGTAACTGATGTCACTTACTTAGGGAGCAGATAAAACACCCAATGACTTCTGCAACCTGCATTCACAACTATGGTGGGGCGGGAGGGAGAAGGCAAAGTTAGGAAGAAGAAGTGGAAAAAAGGAGAGAACAGAAACACTGAAATCATAAGCATTATGAGTACATTAAAGCAGGAAACTTCCAACGACCCAACAGCCCGAGTTCAGTAAGCACCTGCCATGAGAACAGGAACTGAAGCCCAGACTGCCAAGGGATTCAGACCAGAAATACATTCCAAATGCTTCCAGCAGCATTGCTGAACTAGGAACCATCTTTGGAGGGGAAATGGCAGAAGATACACCTCCATAAAGACTAATCAGATGCCAGCACCTTCATTCATTTGTGCCAGCGCTGTAGAATGATTCAGGAGAAAGATGGTAGCTCTTTGCACATGAAATTTTAACTAACTTATCAAGGTTTCTGGTAAATAATAGTAAAAAATAATAGTAAAAATATCCACGTGAACAAAAGAAAAAGTTGTTTTAATCACTCACTAAACAGCACTAGGAGAATATTCAAGCTGCCCCTTTTTCTATTAACTTCTATTGAAAGGAAAGACACTGACTTTGCTACTAGGCACTGGAAGTCCTTGTACAATCATCTGCAGGCTGTTTAGCAGTCTCCAGGTTTTGCACCTATTGTTGGTACTGGAAGGAGGATACAGGAAGGATCAGCAGAGGGGATAACTCAACAGACCAAGGTAACCACTAACAACAAGCTGAAGGGAGACAAAGACTGGAGGTTGGATAGAATTACCTATTTAAGAAAGCTACAAGCTGAAACACTGAATATTTCATTTTTAGGAAGTCCAAACTGATTGCTGAGGGTAAGTTTGCAATATCTGGAAAGGCTAGGAGCAGCTGAAAATTTCATATATAGCATGTATATTAGAACATTTTTTAGATGATATTTATAGACAGCTTAAGCATACAGTTGGAAAAGTACAATTTAATAGGGGAAGTCAACACAGGTTTGTGAAAGGTAAATCATGTCAGCCAAATGATTACTTTTTAAAATGAAAAAGCTATTGATTCAGAGACAGGAAACGAGAGATTTAATATACAGTATCAGAATATTCAGATAACTTCAGACATTCTCAAAAGAATAATATATATTTTTAACATGATTTAAGTAAAAAACTGTGAAAGAGAAATGAGTAAAGATGAAAGCTAAGCTTCACCTAACACCTACAGACTGAAGTACGTACGATAGGGCAACAGCAAGAGATGAGAAAGAATGAAGAAGCCTTCTGTACATCAATTCATTTACTGACAGTGACCACCAGCTGTCCTGGGAAGTTCTTCTCAGCCTGCCTTTGCTCTGTTTATTCTGTCTTATAGAAGTAACTGCAGAGCAACCAAAAAGAACCAAAGCATCCATCGACAAGCACTTGGAGCACTGCTCAAAGCGCATGGTTTTAGCACACAGCTTCTGACGGCAGTGGAACTGGTGTGACCACGCAGCACAGCGCTGTCACCCACTGGCACGTTCCTTCAAGATCACTAAAACGGGACAGATTAGGGTCTGTAAACTCCAACAGGAGACAGAAATATAGTGGCAAATAGACAGAGCCTAGGAGTCTAATACAGATGGATCAGAAGTGCCTGTTGGCAGAACAAACATCAGCACGCCCACCCCTCTGTGAGCTAATGGCACAGCAACAGCTGACTTCACCGAGCGCTCGGAGCGTGCCTGCTCCTCAGCGTGCTTCTGCCTCGGGAACAGCAGCACAGCTGTACTGAGCAGTGCACAGAGCGTACCACGAATGAGGGAAGAACCCTGAGTGCTGATTACTGAAGTACAAATAAGATGGGAGAATACGAGCTACAGACTACCAAATTAAACACAGCTTCATCTGAAAGACAGATCTGAACTCTTGAGCTTGAAGTCAGTAAGTTATTCATTCTGGGCGTTACATCAGGAACGTGGAAGATTCCTCGTGGAAACCTCATACGTGCAATTAAATGGAAAATAGGTGACTTCCAAGAAAGCAGAGCTAAGGTTTAATAGAGGGGATATAAGGAAGATGTTCATGCTAAGGGCGGTGAGGCACTGCACAGGGTGCCCAGAGAGGTGGCAGTGCCCATTCCTGCAGACACACACGGTGAGGGCTGGGCTCTGAGCACTGATGGAGCTGTGGCTGTCCCTGTGCATTGCTGGGAGTGGGACCAGATGGCCTTTAAGGGTCCCTTCCAGCTCAAACCATTCTCTAATTCAAATTTAACTGGAACCTGAAACACAGAAAGGATAGGAAAATCTAAGAGGACTGGTAAATACCCGAAATTCATTGAGAGGAAGTTATTACTGCACACACAGGCTTCCTGCCTGAGATGTGCTAATCAGAACAAAGGTGGCCAGAATCCTCTCTCTTTTTGCAGATATTATGTTTAAACAATAGAAAGAGTTATTGCAGCTACTAGAGCAGATACGTATACTAAAAATAGAATTAATGAGAGGAGGAATACTGGGACTATTAATGAAGAACACAAACGAGCAAGAATCCCATGGGAAGTGAACGCATTACATTAATGTTAGTTTTACAGAATCTTAGCTGTGTCTAGATATAAAATTCTCTTTTATAGAATACTGGCCCAACTCTCACAAATTTTACAGAGGCAAGCAGATGCAATTAATTAAGTCTTATTTGTAAGGAATATCCATCCACTTGGAATCAGGAATAAAGACTCCGTACAACTGAGGTTAAATACCATGAGTATCTCTATGCAGTTCCTTGGATCAGGCTTCCCCACTGAACGGAAATCGGTTTTATTTCATCAGCTGCACTGCAGAGGCAGCACGTGGGCAGACACTATTTTACAAGAAAAGCAATGCCCACACGCTGACACACACAGGGGAACAAGGAGGAGAGTTTTTCTCCACATTAGCAGTTACAGTTATTAGGTATTTACCAAACACGTAATTAGAGCCCTCACGTGTATCAAGCAATCTTCAGCTTGGAACCTTCAAAGCCATTCCAAGCCCAACAGCTGATTTGGTGGCCCTACACCAAAACCATGCAGTTGTGCACCTGCTCAGTAATATATGTGAACAACCTTGGATTGATTACAAAGCTTTTATCCTCTTTGCTGTTGCTTTAAAGCAACTGTCAAGTCACTTCCTGATTGTCATGGGAAGAAAACACACAAAAAATAGAGATTGCAAGAGTGATTTTCCACTAGGCCAGAGATGCCTCAATTTTATAGTCTCTGGTCATGTCCTATTGGGACAGCTCAGGCAACAACAACACTCTGTGCACTAAAGTCTAGATTTATATTCACAGAGGATTGCAACAGTCATATGGAAGGCATTATTGTAAGTGCACTGTATCAACAGAACCGGTATAAGTCTATAAATGTGAATTTCCATTAGGATGCTAATGACTTCAGGAACCAAAGGTAATATTTGAGCTTCAACTGAAACGGCTTACGTGTGTTAGAAGGGGATTTGGTTTGGCAGCAACAAATAAGGAGAGAAGCAGGAATGAGTCTGCAGAGCAAGCTCGCAGAGGGCCCCAGGAGCCTGTGGTGAGCTCAGCACAGGTAGAACGGTCCCCTTCACCTGAACCAGCAGGGGTGGGTGGGCACCTGCCCATCAGCACCCATCAACATTTAATGGTATTCTGAACTACATGCTACACTGTGTACATGCTGCATTCCGAACACCAGTGGCGCCCATCCATACTAATAGCAGGGGCAGAGTGTAATGGCAGATGACTGCCTAGATAGTACGCTATTTTGTAAGACAGAAAGCTTTCTAAGAAGGCTGGAAGCTCTCAGGAAGGCTTTCTACATTTCCTGTTCTCTTAACGGGATGAAGAAACAGTCAACGTGCCCAGCTCACCCCTTGTAGGAGAGGCACCTTACAGCAGTCCCTGCCTAAAGGCCCTTCTGCTTCAGCAGTTCTGCCCTGCTAAGCCTCACCTACAAAGCCACGAGGCTTCACTCTTCTCCACCTAGATAAAGCTGGTGTTTCAACACACGTAGTACCAGAGCCTTCTAAATAAGGAATAATAATTACTAAATCATCAAGCATGCATTGAAAGCTACCATAAAAACCACAACCACGTCCCCACAAGCTTATTTATTACAGCCAGCAGCAGAGATTGTTACAAATGGTCTGGGTTTGGAATATCGTTACCTGTAATAACCTGGCATCACGATGTGCACGCCCGCGCTGGGCTGACAGATGTTGGGTACTTCCTGATCATCCATTTTGCGCACCGAGTCTGTGAAAGGTCCTGTAGCATTGATAACACATTTGGCTTTGACATCAAATTCCTGCCCTGTGAAAGAAAACAGCATCAATCACGGGCCCCATTTGTTTCCCTGCTCGCTGACACTCGGCGTTATTAATCTGTGAACCTAACTTACTGTAACGCGCATTCTGCTTGTCTGAAGGGAGCGGTTACGGCTGTTCTCAAAAATTAACCAAGTTTGCATTTAAAGCCAGACTTCAGAGGAAGCATTTTGCAGAAAGTTCTGTGCAGCCTGTGAAGGCAGGGCAGGAGGTAGGGGAGGAGCGGGCTGAGCTGCACCTCTCCAAGAAGAGGAATTGGCCGGTGGGCAGTATTACTACCATATGGCACATGGCATTTTACAGCAGTGCCTCTGCTTGACAGGAGGGCTTGGAGGTGAGGCTCAGCCTACCCTGCCAAAACACTGCGATCTGAGTGAGAAGCCTGACACAGGTTTGGCACTAATGCTGCCCCACTGCACTCTGGGAAGACGCTCCTTTGTCGGCTCATCGATAGTTACCATTAGCGCTTCCCGCTCCCACCTCCATCCCCCAGCACAGCTCCGGGCCAGGCACACACCTGTGATGACGTCCCTGCAGCGTGCCCCGCACACTCGCTGCTTGCCGCTGCCCGGCTCCGTCTTCTTCAGCAGGCGCAGCACTTCAGTGTAATTGGCGGTGGCAGCGCCGTACCTGGCAGCGGTGAGGGCGATGGCGAGGTTCATCCGCGCGTCGTTGTGCTGTCCTGCAGCGGGAAGGGAGCGGGAAGGATGTGAGTCACCTCCAGCCATGGCCGCGCGGTACGGAAGCGTGTCAGAACCGATCTGTCACAGCTGTCCCTGTCACATCCGATAGCCGTGATGGCTGCTCGCGCCCGACGTCGGTATTTAGAAGACACGTCCTCTGCACGGCCCCACCGTGCTTCCACCCCGCACCCCTCACCGGTGTGGGGCCGAGGGCGATGGGCTCTGCCGCCCCACGGAGCGCTGCTGCTCCAATGTGAGAGCCTATTGCAGCTGCACTGCTCCTCAAAGCTCAGTTCAGCAGTGCCGCGGCAGCCCAACACCGGTCCCTGCTCCGGGTTGTGCCACACTATGTGCAAAACCCAAGAAATCTTTCAGGCTGCCCTAAATTAAAAGTTTCCCGTAACTTTCTTTTGTGTTATTATTTCAATAGGTATTTCAGCTTTCCAACGTACGGCACAAAATCATCGGAAAAAGAAATAAGCAGACAAGAATTAATGAAGGATTCTTAACACATATCATTAAAGATTTATTACCGAAATTCCCTCGTTAAAGAAAACCAAGAGAGAGGCGGAGGGACCATGAGGGGAAGATGATTAATTACTTTAAAACACGGGCTTCACCTGAGACTTTTCCTATTTATTATCACCACTGAAGTTAAAGTCCAGGATGCTGGCTGGAAAGAATTACTATACATTGAAGGGGCCAGGCTCTGTGTGTCCCGAATAATTAATTTACAGCAGGGCTAAACTTCCTCAGATGTGGTTCACTTCCCCACGTGCCCGGACCAGTTCTATCAAAGATAATACAGGTAAAGTGATGAATTTGTAATAGATATTGTTGTTGATTTATGTTGCCAGCATTCTGAACGTTCAGTACAAATGGTTTATGCAAAGTCTGGTCCTTCAGATTCTGCCTGCGCATCTCGTATCGCCGCACACATAATCTGTTCCCAGCTAAAAGGGCAAAGTTATAAAGATGGGATCAATGGCCTGGAGGTGCCACCTCCTCCCTCCTCACCCTCATTCCAACCCAGCTGAGGCGATACAGTGCCATCAGTCTTCAAGCACAAGGCAAGCTATGCAAAGTGAACAGAAACAGGGATATGATGAAGCACCAATGAAGAAACAAACAGTAACTCTGATTCAGCTACGCAAACAATGCCCAGAATAAACTGCAGAAAAGAACAGCAAAACAACTTAGCAAGATGTCAAGAAAAGTTGCAGATGCTCCAACACAGCAGATGCATGAGACTAAACAGCCATCTGTCAGAAGTGGCAGGCAAATCATTAAACAAATGCATCAACATTTCTGCTACAGCAGTGTCAGGGAAGGGATGAAGTGACCTTACAAAGTCTATCTCAAAACTGAGCGTTTTAACAAAGGGCTGAGAGTGTTCAACATCTTGTGCACACAGCGAACACTGGGGAAAAGAAACAGAATAGCAACAAGCTGCATTACAGCAGCTACTTTAATGTACAGCACATCCAGAATGCTCTTCTAGACCAGAGCCAAAGGCATGCAGAAGCAGGGCAGCCTGTAGCAGCCCTTCTTTGCTCTGATGCTTGGTTTGAGGCTCCCCAGCCCATGGGGTGCTACAGGGCACTGTTGTACAGGGCAGGAAACCCAGCACAACAGAACCGTGGAGGTGCTCAAGGCCAGGTTGGATGGGGCCCTGCGCAGCCTGGTCTAGTATTAGATATGGAGGTTGGTGGCCCTGCCTGTGACAGGGGGGTTGGAGCTTCATGATCCTTGAGGTTCCTTCCAACCCAACTGTTCTATGGCTCTATGATTAATTGCTACCCAAGAGAAATGCCATCACTGGCATGAAGGAAAGCCCGAAGCAGCAGCCCTGCACAGCACCCCTTCAAGGTAGCCCTGTTGTACTTCTCATCCATATCCCTCTCATCGTTACTCTGCTGTGAGAAAACCCTTGCTACTTGCTTAGCTCTCAGCTGTCCAAGGGAACCTGAGTGCCTAGGCAATATACCTGCAGGAAGAGGACTGGGAAATAACCAGTTGCTGATTAACTACACATTGAGAAATAACAACACTGGTTTCAGATTAATGCAATCCACAGTGTGGACTGCTGGAGTTTTCCACAGTATAAACAGCAGAGATCTGTGCAGGTCTAGATTAGAAAGCAATGAGGAGTGACTTACTGGCTCATAAATTTATCATCTATGAAGAATAATACCTCAACAGTTCGGTAAGATGGGGTCACGGTCCGATGGCCCTTGCACTCAGGAACAGGTTTATCTGTTGGGAGGTGTGTCTGTGCGGTTTTAACTTTAACTTGTATTTGCACATTTTCCCACAAACAGTGACATTAAAACTCTGTGCAATCATCTTCTGCCTTGACACCCGAAGAAGCCGTTGCTGCTCCTCCATGCAGAGCAGCCACTGCCAAGGCACTGCAGAACAGCTCTCACTACTGCACCGTTCATGACTGAGAAAGCATTTTTTGTTGATGAAATAAACCTAGTTACTTTCAGTCACGTTAGTTTGAAGTAACAATCACTCCCAATTTCAAACAGGTTGGAATGCGTTGCGGCACTTCAGCAATCCTTACCACTCAAGAGGAACAGAAGGAGAGAGAACAAGAATGCTGCCTCTCAGTCTTCTCATTTTTTCAGTGAACTATCATCCTCCTTTTGCCATATTCAGGTCCTCCAAACCCAAGATAAATGCCTCCAAGCTTAACTTTCTCCAAACAGAGATGTAAAGCTTTCTTGACACAAGCACTATTAGCACGCTCAGAAAACGCCCAGGAAACCCAAGGCATAGGTGTCTGCTAAGGATAAGGTGACCAAAGACCTCTGTGGGAGGCTCTGCATCATCCACTCCAGGCAGTTCTGCATCCACTGTCCTCCACATCAGTGTCTGGCACTCCAAAGCAAACACAGAGCTATTTCCCTTTGCTCCCCCTTCTACTCTGCCATGGGTTTCTTCTGAATGCTGTTAGTGATAAATCCGAAAGCTGTTTTACAGTACCACGGCAGCTACGTCCAACTAATCTGGTATTCCTTTCCATAACAAGCAAGCAGCTGAAGATCTCCTAACGAAGCTCAGAGCAATACAGTGAGTATGTAACCAGGACATCCACCGAGCACAGACGTGCCCCATCACCCTGCCCCGGCCAGGTGAGTGCTGCTGCAGTCCTGCTGCTCCAGGCCAGGCGTGAGGAGCTGCTGGTGTACCTGTGGTCGACTCTGTCAGCAGGATATATCACCAGGGGCTGCACCTGGCAGCCAAATCCAGCAGCTTTGGAACAAACATCCAGGAGCCATAGACAAACCTGCTGAGCTCTCCCCACAACTTCTCCTCCCAAAGTACAACTCAAAAATGGGTGTTGAAATCCTTTAAATAACTTCTGAGAAAAACAAAGAGCCGCCCATCTCATTATTGCTGTTGTCATCTGCTCAATGTACAGCAATGATTGCAGTAAGCTCATTTTCATTAAGGGTAGCCAACACTGCTAACAAGACAGTGGCCTAACTGCTTCCAATAAAGTGACACTTAATCCTCTCAAAAAGAACCAACACTATTCTTAGAAGGCATACTGTCAAAGACATTTGGGGCAAGAAGACATTTGAACAATGTGTTCCACATAATTTTAAGATAAACCAAATGGCATCACTGTTGATAATTTCCTTTTTCTTTTCCGTAATTTAGGAAAATTCTATTTTCATTCCTTGGTAGCAAATGCTGCATTTCTTCAAATAAGAACAGACAATGCTTCCGTTGGCACTAAAAGAATCCTCCTACAGAGTGCACAGTGTACATTCGATTTTATTTTTATCAATGCTGAACCACAGCCAGTAGTGGTAACAAAGCCCACAGACTGTAGATTTGTGACTGATTTGGTGGAGCTGTGAAAGCCACCACGCCAAGGAGGCACACCAGTAGTTCCAGTACCTTCTGCACTCTGTCACCCTGACACCCGCTGCTTTTCTACCCATCCCTGCCCTCTCCTCTGCAACTCTGTGCAGCTGAAAATCAACACCACTCAGCAGCCAGTGACTGCAGAGAGCGTAACTTCTTTTAATGCTGAGAGTGACACATGTTATCCACCTAACTTTCTTATGCTAAGAAGTAGTGCTTTGTTACGTGGCTGTCATGCTGCAGCTGTATTCACCAACAGTGCCCCCAAACACTGCAGCCGTTGCCCCCAGAATTGCTCCACATACACTTTGCAAAACCCTGTGACACATCCATGCTGTCGCAGTACTAAGCCAAACTTCTTGCTTTAAGGAGCAGGCTGGTGGTCCCTGCAACAGACATGAAAGCTTTCTCACCTCGTGTCAATTTACAGTCTTTTCCTATTAGGCTTATCTAATTATTGCTGTTGAGGTCAAGCTAAATGGAGAGCTAGAAATTAGCCATGCAAGAAGCTATATGACAGCCTTAATGCACTTTCTCAAGAGGGCAGACCTTTCTATAGAAGTACATACCAGGCTCCTTTTGGAAGAAAAAAATATATATTTGGATGAGAAACTAGGCAACGATTTTGAATTGCCACATAATATAACAAATAGTTAGGGCTTGTTGTGTTCTTTTAGAAAGCTCATGGGATAACAGCTAGCTAACAGCCTGGGCATTGCTTCCTTACTGGTATCACTGAGCTCCACTTGGTTAACTGGAACACAGCCTGCAACTCACAGGGTAGCCCCTCGGATCTGGAACGTACCCCAAGGCCTGCCCAGATGGGACATTACTAGATTGTCACAATATCGACACCCACTGTCCCCAAAAGCACCATCCTAAGGTCACCTTAAAATTACATGTTATATTCCTACATAAGTATTGCACAATTGCATTCATGCTGTAAAAAAACCCAACAGCACAAGGAACCAAACAACACATCTCACGTGCATAAAAGTGTTCCTGTTGTGTATATACAAAGCTTGCCAAATTTAAGGCTGATGATCTGTAGTTACATACAGTGATATATAATTAAGTTATCGGAGCTGCCTGCATCCACCAATTTTTAAATAGAAAG